AATGATGATAGTAGGAAGAAGAATAATAATCATAATACAGGTGATAATAAGGGTGATAGTAATGATAATAATAATAATAATAATAATAATAATAATAATAATAATAATAATAATAATAATAATAATAACAATAACAATAACAATAACAAATAACAATAACAATAATAACTAACAACTAACAACAACAAGAACAACATCAACAACATCAACAACAACAAAACAACAACAACAACAACAACAACATCAACAACATCAACAACAACAACAACATCCGCAACAACATCAACAACAACAACAACAACAACAACAACAACAACAACAACAACAACAACAACAACAACAACAACAACAACAACAACGACGACGACGACAACAACAACAACAACAACAACAACAACAACAACAACAACAACAACAACAACAACAACAACAACAACAACAACAACAACAACAATATTAGCTCCCGCAATGCCTCTGGCAAATATGCAACAGTATGATTGCTGTATCTCGCCCACTGCAGGTTAAACGGAGGAAGCGGACAATTGTCATTCAGCTTCAGATACACAAAGTGGCTTCCTGCTTCAAGAAATAGTATAGTCATCTGGTAAGATAACTGTGAAACACCTTCGGGAGCCCAAAGTGGCAAATAAGTCTGATTTCCCAAACTGCTAGCCGACAAGACCAACGCGTTGTAATATATTGCTACAACCACGCCCACATCCGCGATCGTCATCCACTTTTCCAGAGGTGCTGGGGCGTTATACCAATAGGTCTCGCCAACACCCGATACACTGAATTACCACGTCCGAAATAATCATTGAAGAACGGCGCGTGCATTCTAATACATATATACACATCCAATCTAACATCCATCCAATCATCCTCACTGTTCTTGACTGCACACGCCACGCTCCGATAACCACAATTACCATCCCTTAGAACGTCCGTCCAGGTCACAATCTCCGGAACGAGGCAAAAATGAAGTTCTCGCATCCAACTAGGTCGGGGCATTCGTCCCATTTCGGGTCCACTCAAAGTCAATGAACGACCACGAGATCTATCAGAAGATGAACCACAGTCTCTGTTGCCTCTTGATCGTCCTCGTCCTCGTCCTCGTCTCGAATTTTCTTCGCCCGGGTATAATGGCAACTCATGCCCTGACTCATCCCTCTGTGTGGAGTTGTTCCGCGGTCTACCTCTAGGGCGGTCTAGTACTGGTGGCTCATTTATCTCCGTTGCTCCAGGATGCATTCGTTCAAAAACGACATCTGCCACGTCCATGATCTTAATTTCTGAACGTTCACGCAACTCATCAATTAACCCGTCTAGCCTGCCAATAGCCTGTGACCTGTGATCGGGAACAGAACCAACACTTTCTTCTTGGCCAGGCCCGAATCTCGAAACCCATGTCCTCCAAAAAATGTGGACATCCTCTGCATAAAACACACCACATCGTGCATTCACATTTGCGTCAATTTCATGTTTGCATGGGAGGCCAAGACATTTCCTCATGTAACAGACGCAACTGTCTATATCTTCATCCTTCTCATCGTCCAACATCTTCAGTGCAGAATGTGTTACAATTCCACTGGATAATATTTTAAATACGGGCACATTAATCGTCTGGGCCCGAATCCGCTTTGACTTCGCAAATTCGGCAAGAATCTAGTTAAGTTGATCTGCAATCTGTGAGTGATACTGTGCACAAAATGTGTCAAAGCCAACCATCTCTTCAATGCTCTATGGTTGCTCTCCACCCTAATATGATTAAAGTAGGTTATATTTCAGTAAAAAACATGAGAGTAAGTTAAGTATATGTATTTAACCACTAATAAATAAATACCTGCTTGTCGATGTATTGCCCAGATGAAAAACTAGATCCGTCCATGCTTTTACAAATTTCTCTTTGTATATCAGCCAAGTGTCTTGGAGGTACTCAATCAACTGTGGATGATTCGCGTAATCGTCCACTAAAACTCTGTAATTCCGGTTGAAATCTTCTTCACACACTGATGTTACCAAAGTTTGCCACGGAATGACTACAAAAGCAAATCCTTGACGCCTACTATTGCCAAAACACTTTGAAGCACGACGCCCCACATTCATGTTAATGTGCCAAAGACATAATAGATGAGGCACAGTCGGAAATACATTCTCTATCGCCGTTAAGAGCCCTAACTCGCGATCAGTCACGAGTGCACTAGGTAGAGTATGTGGGGGGAAAAGTCTCTTCAACCTTTGCAACACCCATGTATAATGTTCTTCATTTTCATGGCGCATAAAAACCACTCCAACAGTAAATTTTTTTCCGACAGGAGTAACACCAACAATCTCCAACAAAGGCAATTTGCACTGATTGGTTTTGTAAGTACTGTCAAGTAGTATAACGTACGGAAACTTACTTAACAATTCGACAGATAGAGGGTGAGCCCACATCAAATCGATAACTGCATGGGTCGTTTCATCTGTACGGAACCACTTGTAATAGTTATGCTCCTCAAGCAACCCAATCAAATGTTGCATCACTGTACGGTCACCCCTAGCTAATCTTCTCAATTTTGCCTTTTCATTGTATATTTGTTTCGAATAAGCATCGAGACCCAAGCCATTTTGTCTCAAGTTAACCAAAATCTTCTTGGCGGCACATGACTTTGTGAAAGATCCTTGATAATCTTCGACTCCGCTTCATTCAATGCACTAATCCCATGCTCAGACATGTATATCGGAATATGATTATGCTTCCCATATACTATTATGAGCCCCCATCTATCGTCCAACCGCCGCTCTCCGACGATTTGAAAACCACATTTTATTTTTTTGCTACCAGACCTTTTCGAGGATGCCTCTACGTTACTTTCTCGAGGCCCTCCGAACAGGTCACAAGTCAGACACACTTTCTTTATTTTGGGGGCACTTTTTTTAATTAATTTCACGAAAAGAGCTCTTGCAACGGACCTAGCCCAAGCCACTAACTCGTCCCCCGAGTCAAACAATTCAGTTGTTGTAAAATAATCGGTATGATCAACTTCAACTCTTGACGTATTGTCCTAAAAAAAACATTAAATATTTATTTAAAAAAAAAACGGTTTGAACCGGACGCCCAACTCGGGCGCCCAAATAGGCTGTACACGCCCAAGTTGGGCGTGCAGTTGGCTGCGGGGCGCCCGCATCGGGCGTGGAGCTGCGAACTGCACGCCCAACTTGGGCGTGTACAGCTTATTTGGGCGCCCAAGTTGGGCGTTTGGACTATTTTTCAAGTTTTTTCGATCGAGAAGACGGAATTTTTACCTCGTTAGATCCGCTATCACGATCTTCATCCGATGAGCTCATTTGTGTTCGTATATCACACCAACAAGAATGATTTTTAAGCAAATTCTCTTCAAAAGCTTCTTTTTTCAAGAGAGATAGAATATTTTAATAATAAACCGCGACTAGCAATTTTGCAACCGCGAAAAGCAAGTCCCTTTTATAAATATTGAATTCATTTATTACTGAATTCGTGTAAGTTAATTATACCATTAAATCTTAAACCACCCACTCATCCACAAATACATTTTGTGACATTTTAACAACTTGTGATTCTTTAAAGCATACAAGAATAGTTACCATTTGAACTTGTGAGTCTGGACCCTTCACCATTTGATCCATTTGATCGTTATTTTAATATTTTTTTATACAACTATCGTGCACTAATCAGAAAATTTATTTCTAATAAATAGCAGTTTGAACTTGCACCAACTGGTGAAATCTCTCGTCTCCGGGGCCCCCATTTCTTAGCTCGACAAGTATTTGATAGAGTAATGTAAATTCATGGTGACTCAACGGTTCGTTAGGGTAACGGACCCAAACCTAGTGCCGACAAGGAACCAACCCTCATTGGAGTTGAAGTTCTCACACTGCGGCTACCATGATTCGATTGTAGGACCTTGCATCAACTTACCATCCCCGCAACCAATTGAGTTATACTCATGTAGGCAATGGCATTTTGAACTTGTACTCATTCATTGAAGTTCTTTCGAAATTATATAAAGTATGTATAAATATTTTTAATGAATTCAAAGTTTTATTATTAAAATAAATATGTTTATTTTTCATTATTATTATCAATTTCAATCATGTCAAATAGTTTTTTGGGATGATTGGTCGGGCACTCCTTATACGGAACTTATATAAGCGGAAGTCTATTTAAAAAAAAATAATAAGAAAATATATATATTGATTCGGTAGAAACGAACATTTTCATTAGCAATTACGAACTTGGAATTACATTAGCAATTACGAACTTGGAATTTGTAACGTGAATGTAAAACATGAATTCTTTTTATGAACAAACATAAATTATAATTGCAAACTGCAGTACATGGATAACAAAACGAGGTTCGAATGATATTGTGGAATTTATATATTTTTCTTTCCGATTGGTGGCTCTTAGACCTCCAGTGTAGTTTGAGTTGGTTTCCTTTTTCTTCCTTTTTTGATGATGTTGAAAAGTCATTTAATGACTTTTTTTTTTTTTTTCTGTTTTATGGCTTGGCCGTTGGAAGAGAAAAAAAGAAAAATATAATACATAACTAAAGAATAATCCACATAATGTTATTACAAATATCAAATATCAAACAACTTATGCAAGTGATGCATCCTCCGAAATGCTAACAGCTAATAAAAGCATCATATGTAAATAAACCACACATGAACTAGCTAAACAAAATGGTACTTGACAGTAGCAAACATCATATGTAAATACAAACTAAGATTTCAAAATTAAAAGTGCATTAAAAAAAACATTACAAAAAATAAACAAAGAAAACTACCAAATCACCTAATATATGAGGAATTTCATTTTACACTTTGCACATTGTTGCACTCTAATAACTAAGAATTTTGCAAATGGCGATTTCAATCTATATCGAATTTCAAAAAACCTAACAATACTTGCCAAACAATACGAACTATAACAATTTGTAGACCAAATTTGCACATGATGTTTTAACTCAAGAAACTCAAAATGCACATCACATGCATGATTAAAAAAAAAAAGACCCATCGATACCTTAAAAGTGGAGGGAAATTGTACCTGACATCGATTTCTCTGAGACAAAAAGGCTCATAAAAATGGACGATTGGATCATTATCAATTTTTTTTTTAAATATATGGATTAAATGTGAGAATATTAATTACCAAGGCCGTTACGATTTTGCACTATTTTTCTGACAAATGATGTTCTCTAATAATGCGGGTACGAGATAATGTACAAATCAAACAACAAATCCCAGATACAGATCGATTAACGTACACCAAACAACAGACGTAAACTAAACTAACATCAAAACATTTGATGCTTCTTGCTATGGAAGACGAATTGCAAATTCGTTAACATGGTTAGCGATTCGCAAAAAATTATGGGAGGAGGACAAATATTTTGGGGAGAGAATTGACGTATGATTATTAATATCATTGATTTTTTGGGAGATAGTTGAGGGATTTATGGTTCCGACAACCACTACAAGAAAAACTACTTTACGTGAGGCAAAAATTCGTCACAAAATGTTGGATTTTCGTCCCTAATGCTTTTGGTAACGACTCCGTTTGTTACCTTTGTTTGTCCTCTAAAGCCCGACGCTAAAAGTTTAGGTAACGAACATAGATTGTCGTTACAAACGTATTCGTGACAAATGATATTGGCGTTACCATAGAGTATTTATAGTGACAAATGTGTCCTTACCAAAACAGGCTAAGGTTTGTTACCAAAATCCTATTCGTTACCAATAGTTATTTTTTTAAAACCATCGAATATATGTATGTTAATATAAGTTCGTCACCAATACTTCTCATGACAAATGCTTATCCTTACCAATACTTATTATATTTTTTTCATTATATTTTTATTTAAAAAGAATCATTCTTAAAACAAAATTTATAATCAATAAAACAAAGACCTTTATACAGAAAAAAGAACTATTGTATCCACAATGAAAACTAATAGTACCATCCATCTACACAGATATTATAACTAACTTTCATACTTCAAAAATAAAACGATACATGTTATATCGTATTCAAAAGATAATTGTCAATGATAATCTATGATCAAAATATAAGTTCACCCTAACAGTTGGATCATGCTGTACCATCCACCATTGTATTCAAAAATCTGCAAACATAGCATCAATTTATATTTAGTAAGGTTAGAATAAAACTAATAAGAAAGTATTTTACTATAAATGTAATAAATATGTAAAAATAATTCCTAAGATCTTATACTAGCATGAGTCTGGCTTATAAAACAACATGCTTGTAACAACTCATTCACATGAACACATAGAATGATACAAAGAAGATTCTAGCTATCAACTTCTTCCTCAAAATTAGTTTATTTACATTATCTCCACGCTTACACATATATCATTCATAATTAATATAACTGCTTTTAACGAGTATTTTATCCATAAGATTCTCAATCAAATATAAGTATTGAAATAGTGCGAAATAAAGTAGAAGTCTTGTAAAACTTACACATTTTTTATGGGTTGCTCGAAGTATTTTGTTGCATAAAAAGCAGTAGCATTTTCTTTAACTCATTTTGCCCTTCCTTTAGACTTGACATCTCTTCATCTTGTTTTTTGCACCGATCATCGTAATTCTGAATTATTGCTTCTTGGTTCTGAATCATTTCTTTTTGAGAATTAATGCAAGAAACAGCATTTCTCAGTTCATCTTCAGTACCACTCAACTTCTCTTTAAGTGCCTCAAGCTGTGAAGACTCACATGTTGACCTTTTCGTACATTTAGAAGGCACAAATCCATATCCCATGCCCTTTTCATATCCTGATCGTTGGCCGAGTACTTTCTTTACAATTTCTCTCTCGGAAGTCAGGCCTTCCCTGTCTTCAATAGATTCGTTCCTTAAATTTTCCATTTCGATCTATCAATATTCAGAAAGTGAAGTTCAGAAGTTGATGTTAAACATATAGATATTCAAAAATTAACATTTTTATTTTATATAATTGATCATACATGTTTTCTTGCAGCTTTGTCATTCACAAAAGTACCATTTTTCATATGAGTTTTTGCGAAGTTATCCACATAGCTCTGATTTTCCTTTAAAAGAGAAAAATGCAATAATTATGACAAAATATTATCACAGTAAATACATTAACAGATGATTAAACGAAATCCAATAATTACATTACCATTTGCAATAGTCGTGTGTGAAATGATTTTGAACCTGAGGTATGAGTATATGGTAGGCATTTTCTATTGTTAACATTAGTTGCAGATCTTTTCTGCTCTTGCAATAAAAAATAAAAGTTAGGACCTTAAAATTACAATAATTAAAATGACTATCAAATCTGAAATCAAGTGTAGTACCTTGAATTTATCACTTTCATAGTAATTGCATAGAACACGCCATTTTTGAAGTGATATCCAGTCAAATGGGCTACGAGCCCTAGGATCCTCTCCTGCTTCAACCATTTTTTTGTGTGATGCTGACAATCGACCCTTCCAATGTGTATAACTTCTTTGAAACATCTCTTCCATATACATCTTGACTACCGGATTAGTCCACCATTCCTTGATAATAAACCATGTCTAAATCGAAATAAAAATAAGTAGAAAATCTTTATTTAAGTAATTAACAATTAAGACGCGATAAGAGAAAAATATCACCATTGTACTTACATCTAATCCAGCATAAATCGGTAGTTTTTCGTCTTCAGGTATTTCATTCCAGTGACTTATACAATCAAGATCAGGGTCGTGCCTTATAACAATTCCAATTGCAGTTGCTAAATGATTAGCGAATTGGCGAGGTTTCTTAAAACCTTCAGGAAACTCAATCTCCAATAGTTGTCCTCTCTAACAAACCACATAGTAAACAATACCAGTAGATGATGAAGTATATATATCAAAATAATAGTCAAAAATATATATGAGAAAACCAATACTAACATTGTCAACAATTGCTTTATCTATTGATTTGCCTTTACTTGCTCCACGGCCTCTTTTTTTTGTTGAAGCTGAAAGAAATTTATTCTTATAATGATAACAAAAATATATAATAACTAAAAAAAAAAAAGTTTAATATTATTTACAATAATACATATAATGTGTGCATATTTACCATTGGAATTTTCAGGAGTTGATAAAGAGCTTTCACTATCGTTTTCTTGTGTATCCTCACAAAGAGGTGGAGATAGTGAATGTTCTAACATTAATGAAGTTTGTCGAGCAACCGAAGATACTCCATCATTAGCATCTTTATTCCTTCTACTTATAAGACGACGCGGCATTAAGTCCTTGGGCGGCATTTGACTGAAAAGGGAAGATAAATTCAAATTATTAATACAAGATAATAGTTAAAAGAACACTGTTAAACCCAATTAGATATGAATCTCTCCATATCAAATAAATGCATAGATATTCCTCTCCAAATCAGTTTTATATACTATTTTAGCTTAAATTATGTTGTTCAATTAGTATTTGTAAATATATTATTTCTTTCTTCTATAAAACTGAAGTAAAAAAATCCCTATCAACAAGACAAATATAAGAACTTTTTACACAAAAATCAATTGTACTTAAAATACAGAGTATTACCTGGAGAGTGAGTCGAAGTAAGAAACCCCTTGAGACAACCCACCTAAAATTACAAAACGAGGGAAACATGCACATAGATAGAAAAAAAAAAAAAAAGACACATAGTTAAAGAAGAGGGAACTCGATTTTTACCTAAAATCGTATGAAGGATAAAAGGGTTCTATAATTTCCAGATGCTATCTGCCGATGAGGAAGAGAAACCCCTTTTAGTTGTAAATCATAAGCTAAATAATAGAAACATGTATGAAGATGAAAAGCTCAATGTTACAGGATGTATTGTCTATTGGAAGCAGAAATTTTGGCTCTGGAAAGGAGTTCTACATATCCTAGAAAACCCATCTGATTGTGAGGAAGAGAAGATTAATCGAAAT